GAGAGAGAGAGAGAGAGAGAGAGAGAGAGAGAGAGAGAGAGAGAGAGTCAAAAACAATGCAGCAACACTTTAGGAATGGTATGCATTGGGAAAGCGCATTTTGTATTTAGTCGAAATGGTGGCTATATACGTTCCGTAATCTCAGCACATGCAATTTCTTATCGCAAAACAAGCCTCATTGCTGCAGTGTGTGACACATTACTAATGAAATATTGATATAAGATAAAACGGTGCGGGCGCAATAAAGTATCAATTAGCCAAGAGTTCAATTATGAATATGGTAATCATTTTGATGAGAATTGTTCAGCGATAGCGCAGAGCGAAATTTACATTTTTATCAATCAAGTTGTGTGTGTGTGTGTTTGAGTGGTTTACGGCCGATTCCATGTCATTTTTCATATCATTTTACTCCTACCGATTCAATTGGAATTTCATTTGTTTTTTATTTCTTCTTTGAATAGCGTCCAGTATTTTTTTTTCTCTTTTTTCAACGAAATACTTCCAAACAACTTTCGATGAACTAGGATATGAATTTTTGATCATTCCATTTAGGGAGTCAAAGTCGAAGAGTGAGTGCTGATTTAATATATACTTTGTAAATGTTGAAACCACACAAAATTCGGAAGTGAACAAAAGGACAGGGGGAGTACAAATCATTATTTTTGTAAAACGCTTCGATTTGAAAATGTTTCGAAAAACCATTGTACGAGATTGACCCACATTTAACTCCTACACAAACAATTGAAACAAAGTAAATTTCGATGCGTCATATTTTTTTTTCTTCCTTTCGCCCGAGCACTCCTCCTCACTCTGTATTTTTCTCTCTACCTAATTTCCGTGTTTGGAATTGAAATGCGTGAAAGAGTGGTAAGGGCTCGAATAAACGGTGTTATTTTTTCGCTGTGAAATGTTCCGTAAACAAAATGACAATAACGCCCGGCAAACACGATAACGGTTATTTTCCAACCATTTGGGAAATGAAATGAATTTTTATTTCCATAAGTATGTGTATTTAGAACGGACGAAAAGTGGATAAACACTTCATTGGAACGGCGTTTATTGTAATGGTGTATCATTTAAAAAGTTGATGATGAGCTGCCTTGTCACATATATATATATTACTGTGAGTGGATGGAATCACGAAGCAAACGGATATTTTGGAATTTGACATGTGAAATGTATAATTTTCCGGCTTTCAAACCGAGTATCGACGGCCAAGTCGAGCTATGCAACTAAAGAGAGTGGTAGATAGAATGGAACAAAAACAAACACCTAAATATTTATCATCGTTTTAACCCCATTCTATAATGAATCTTTTTTTCTGTTTACGTTTTACACATTTTTTCCACTGTTATTCCATCATAATTTTGAATCTGAACAGTATTTACTTGAATTCACTTTTTTCCCTCGGTTTTCTGACGTGATTATTGTTTAAACTAAAACAAAAGCAACAAAAGAATAGTCAACCGCCAATTATGGCCGAGAAAATGTATGCAAACAAATAGAAAAAATGATCTTTTAAATGCAATTTATTGGAATTCATCCGAGGAATTTTTCAACGAAGTAACTTTTCAACATTTTAATAGCGCCTGAAAAAACACCTAGAAATTGTTGGAACACTTCCGACACGGAAAACTCAATAGTGGTAGTTCATGTTTAAAATCAGCACTGTTTGGCATGCAATTTCGAATTCTTAGCGTTTTGATTTCAATTATGATGGAAGGAAATGCTTTAAAATTCGCTCAATCATTCCATGATGTGGTTCTTTCTGCTTCTTCTTGCGAGCGCGCCATAGAAAATCGTTGTGAAAATGGACGGAAGTGGAAAATTATTCAAAAGTTAAGTAAATGTTTGCATTTTATTTGATTTTTCACACGCAAACCAATTTCGTCTTTCGACGGAATTGCCGTCAAACAAAAATGACATTATGAAAGCGTACAATGTTTAATTGATCAAATTGGCTGTATCGGCAGCAACGCACACACACACACACACACACAGTTCGTAGCGGGTCTTTCCGACGAAAGAAAACAAACTGAATCCGAATTTGTATTTGCTTTAATTGATTTTTCTCATTGCAGAACGGAATACACACGCTTCAAGCGATTCCATTTCGAATGGAAAAATGCGCTCACGAGCGCTGACATCAAAGGCCAAATAGCTCAGCATGCCCTGTTCATTCCGAGCATAGCGTGAATAAATGAATGAATGTTGTTTTAAGCGCCCACTTTTCCATCCCATTCCAATTAGAGTGCAGTTTATTTAGTTTTCAACGTCAACTTCCTAGTTGATACTGTTGTTATTTGACTTTTATGCGCTCTCACACTCTATTCCATTTTCTCCAATGGTTCCGATGGTTCCGATTGAATCCGTGGATTTTGTAGGCGTTCGAATGAGAAATTGTACTTTATACAAATTATAATTTGTATCGACTTTTATCCGATGGATTTATTAATTTCGTCGCATTTGCGTGTGCGTACAAAGTATTGAAATTGGCAAAGAAATGAGTTGAGACGAAAGCACTTGCTTCGATTGTTGGCCATTGATGTGCAGCACTTATGGTTCATGAATGCTTCATCACTTGTTTTCGAAAGCAAACAAATCAAATGTTTTCCTTTCACAATTCCTTGATCACATCTTGAGCACATAAACTCAATGGAAAATCACGTCCAACGTTGGAATACAGTTCGATTTATTATGCTATTGACATTGTGTTTATGCAATATTCAAGTATTCAAGTCGATGTTATTATGTATTCCATTTTGAGTTTCAAACGAAAATCACAATTTGCCCCTGCTGGCGTGTTTTCTCTTTGACGCCTCGCTTCGCATCATAAAACCATCCACATAATTATTCAATTTTCTTTTGATTAATGCAACGTTATCGAAAACCTTTCATTATGGTTGCGTGACACACCGCGGTGATTTGACGAAACAAACACACAGAGCTGGAGTAAGAGAGAGAGAGAGAGAGAGAGAGAGAGAGAGAGAGACTCATACATCCATTCATGGCAAAATGTAATCAATTAATGTTGATTAATTGAAACGGGAATGTAAATAAACTTATACAATAAACCATTCGAGTCCATTCTGTTGGTCTAGCAAGTGGAATCCTTTTGAGCACGAAAAGAGTGAGAGTGAGAGTAAGAGAGGAATGGTCTTTGAGCTACATCTCACATTACATGGCCAGGGATTGAACTTCAAAGTTCGCTGAGCATCGGGTCCAAGTGTTAACGTCTATAAGATTGGACAAATATTTGAAGTGTCACACCAGCCGCGATGAGTTATCTGTATTCTTTTTCTTTTTTTTCCAATGATCGATGGTGGACGACAGAAAAATGCATTTAAGTCGCGTTATGTTTATGGTTCAGTGAATTTCTAACCGATTACCATAATTAATTAAACCAGAAAACACCTAATCTTCTTGTTAACAACTCTTTTCAATCACATTTACACCAAAACCAACCGCATACACACACAAAAAAAAATTGTGTAGCAACCGAGAACACACCAGAATAGAAATGTAATCATGAACATTTCGCACTGAGATATTTCTATTCAAGTGAGAAACCATACAAAGTTGTGGTTTCAAAAGTCGTGTCATATTTTATGTAATAATTAACATGTAGTCAGTTCTATGACCCCACAGCGAATACAAATCCACGTGACAAAAGGAATGGAAAAAAACTTACACAGAAATCGTCGTGCGGATTATGAAATGCGTCTCTGATTACTTTTCATGCAAAGCGCGCAAATGACAGAGAGAGAGAGAGAGAGAGAGAGAGAAGTGTGAGAAGTGTGAGAAGATCCATTTCTTCAACATAAAAGGGATCAGACATGTGACAATGATATCACAAGACATTTCAAGCATATTCTTTCGCCATATTTTTCATGACACTTGATCCGGTGCATGTGATTTATCGGAAACTATTGACAGCGCCGAGAATAACCACAAAGAAATTGCTTTTGACATTATGCAGGAAGCAAAAGAGAACAGAATAAAGAGAGAAAGAGAGAGAGAGAGAGAGAGATAGAAAAAACACTTTCGAACGATTACATGAGCACGTCTCGAGATATGAATAAGTCAATCGGTTTCATGACATCGTTTATTTGTTTCAGTCTGCCACCGTTTTGAAAGTCGAAGATTCGCATTTTCCGTGTGCTCGATTGAATATGAGAGTGGAATATACACAGAAGCCTTTTGAGTGCATTTTTTTAAAATGCAAAATCATGATTGATTCATCATTTCGCCGAAGAGCGGCGAAATGGGGCTCAAAATGATGAGCTAGACAA